GTTTTTGCTTTTTCTTTACTTTCATGTTCCAATAAAAATAAAGGAAATAACTGAAAAATATCATATGCTAATCTTATGGTAGGTGATGACACCACATAAGGAAAAGTATAAGTAGGAAATTTTATTAGAGATTGAAAAACATAGCATTGGTCAATGATGCAACTCATGAAAGAATTAATAAGGGAAGAGAAGATTCACATATAAATATACTATCCTGGAAATCTTTTGTGATTGTGAGCCCCCATCAAAGTATTACATGCCAAAATTCTTGACGTTGGACAAGGAAGACAACTTAATGATTTATGTTTGTTCATATTCACAAAGAAGTTATATTGTCATAGATCCTTCGACATGTGGTGCTTGCCCCCCATATTTGCTAGCCAAAAACTCCGCACTAAGTAGAGATACTACTTGTGCATCCAAAAGCCCTTAAACCCAAATCTTATTTTTCAAGTGACCACCATACCTACCTAAGGATTGAGTCAGATCCTTCAAGTAAGTTGCCATCGGTGCAATAAGGCAATAAAATTTGCTTCTAGAAGTGTGAGATCATTTAGTGTAAGAGAAAATTGAGCGTTGTACAAACTTGTGATGGTGAAGAATAAAAGCGATAGACTGCATAATAAAGGTTGCCATCACAAGGGCCAATACAACATGACGTTCTTTTGCACTAAGGGGTTGAGCATACAAACAAATAAGCGCATGGAAACCTCTACCTCCCTCTGCGAAGGGCCTCTTTTGCTTTTATGCAAGAGTCAAAGTTTTTCTCTCTATTCCTTTTATTTTTCTCCTTTGGCAGGCATCAGTGGTGAGGAAAGATCTAGGCACATATGTCCATTTGAATATGGGTGGCATAAGTTATTATTGTTGACACCACCCTTGAGGTGAATACGTTGCGAGGCGAAACTATAAGCCCCTATCTTTCTATGTGTCCGGTTGAAACGTTTTTCTCATGTGTATGCGGTGAGTGTTAGCAATCATAGAAGACTATATGATGGTTGAGTATGTGGACTTGCCTAAAGGCTCCTATACGTGACCCTTCCTGAAAAGATGATGAATTGTAGTTGCAAAGTTGACTGAGAACATAGTTTGTTGGTTTCTAATAGATTTTATGCTTTATAATTTGATAGTGTGATGAATTGTTACTTATTCATGAGAAGTCTATGATAAAAGTTCTATGGTAAAAGTTTTATGTCAAAGTTTGTTGTTGTTATAATAATTCACATGATGCTTCTATGTTTGTATTTTGTTTTTATCGACACCTCTCTCTCTCTCTAAGCATGTGGACATGTTTTTCAATTTCAGTTTTCGCTTGAGGACAAGTGAGGTCTAAGCTTGGGGGAGTTGATACGTCCATTTTGCATCATGTTTTCCTACTATTATTTATGATGTTTTTATGCATAATAATGCTTTTTGGAGTAATTCTAATGCCCTTTCTCTCATAATATGCAAGGTACACACAAAGATGGAGAATTCCGGCAGCTAGAAATCTGGACCTGGAAAAGCTACGTCAAGCTACCTATTCTACACAACTCCAAACAAGATGAAACTTTACAAAGATTTTTTATGGAATATATGAGGAATATTGGAGCCAATAAGTACCAAAGGGGGCCCACCAGGTGGGCACAACCCACCTGGGCGCGCCAGGGAGCCTAGGCACGCCCTGGTGGGTTATGCTCACCCAGGCCCACCTCCGGTGCCCATATTCTGGTATATAAGTCATTTTGACCTAGAAAAAAAATAAGGAGAGGACTTTAGGATGCAGCGCCACCGTCTCGAGGCGGAACTTGGGCAGGAGCACTTTTGCCCTCCGGCGGAGCGATTCCATCGGGGAAACTTCCTTCCCGGAGGGGGAAATGATCATCATCATCATCACCAACAACTCTCCCATCTTGGGGAGGGCAATCTCCATCAACATCTTCAACAACACCATCTCATCTCAAACCATAGTTCATCTCTTGTGTTCAATCTTTGTACCGGAACTATAGATTGGTGCTTGGTGGGTGACTAGTAGTGTTGATTACATCTTGTAGTTGATTACTATATGGTTTATTTGGTGGAAGGTTATATGTTCAGATCCATTATGCTATTTAATACCCCTCTGATCTTGAGCATGTTTATCACTTGTGAGTAGTTACTTTTGTTCTTGAGGTCACGGGAGAAATCATGTTGCAAGTAATCATGTGAACTTGATATGTCTTCGATATTTTGATAGTATGTATGTTGTGATTCCCTTTGTGGTGTCATGTGAACGTCGACTACATGACACTTCACCATATTTGGGCCTAAGGGAAAGCATTGTGGAGTAGTTATTAGATGATGGGTTGCGAGAGTGATAGAAGCTTAAACCCTAGTTTATGCGCTATTCTGTAATGGGCCGATTGGATCCAAAAGTTTAATGCTATGGTTAGGATTTATCCTTAATACTTTTCTCATAGTCGCGGATGCTTGCGAGGGGGTTAATCATAAGTAGGGGGTTTGTTCAAGTAAGAACATCACCTAAGCACCGGTCCACCCACATATCAAATTATCAAAGTAGCGAACACGAATCGAATCAACATGATGAAAGTGACTAGATGAAATTCCCGTGTACCCTCAAGAACGCTTTGGTTACTATAAGAGACCGTTTTGGCCTGTCCTTTGCCTCAAAAGGATTGGGCTACCTTGCTGCACTTTTGTTACTATTATCATTACTTGCTCATTACAAAATATCTTGCTATCAAACTACTCTGTTACTTACAATTTCAGCACTTGCAGATATTACCTTGTTGAAAACCACTTGTCATTTCCTTCTACTCCTCGTTGGGTTCAACACTCTTACTTATTGAAAAGAGCTACAATTGATCCCCTATACTTGTGGGTCATCAATCTCCCGCCTGCGGAGGCGCTACGGCTCCAGATCGAGGCCCGGGTGCCCGTCGAGGAGCTACCACGTGTGTTGCGACCACCACAACCCGGGCCACTGCGACTAGGAGCTTGCCCTGGTGCGCCGACATCCGGAGAGTTGCGTGTACTGCCGCCGCTCTCCTCGTCAAATGCAGCGGACGTGGTCGCCAAAGCCGTCTTTCCAAGCCCCTCCGTCGTCGCCCATCTCCCCTCCAGTGATGACATCCTCCCAGGGGTCCAATTGTAATCTATTTTTGTCTCTAGGGTGCTTTGTGCAATTTTTCAGGGATCCTTTTGTAAGTTGAGCTGATGATTGGTGGGCCCCATGTCTAACTTAACATTCAACAAACGGTATTGAGAAATTTATGCCACACCGGCACTTACAAGTGGGTTCAACTGGTCAAAAATTGGATTAGATCGCTCAAATATGTCATTAGTGTTTATTGAGAAAATCTGTAAGGAAACTGGTAGTTTTTTTGGGTGCCCAGAAAATGTGGTGGCGATTCCATAACTGAACTCCAAATGTGGTGGCTTTTTGCAATTCACTCATGTGGGAGTGATGATGAGGTCCTGCCAGCATGGTAATCAAGAGGTGCTAAATGATTGAACCAGTCATGGCAGGATGATAGATACGGCCAGGAACTCTCGAGGTGGTGGCTCATTGCAACATGGCTTCATCCTTCGTTACACAAGAATCGAACCACCTTGCTTCTTCTATGCAAAACTAGGTTATAATCTGTAGTAAACTCATTGATCCCTTTTTTATGCAAGTATTGGCAAAATTATGATCTCTTGAAATTGAACAACTAAAAGATTGTAAGTGCTTACTATTACAGAATAAAACAATCTCTTGCCCTATTCATAGTAACTTATGTAGGCTAGGGATGATATATGCGCTTGGCATGTTAGTGAGTCATCATAGTGAGAGCATCCCAAGTTTAGATGGCGATCTTATGAGCGTTAACCTCAACCATATTTAATATTTCTTTCACTAGTTCTTGATCAATGAGCCTTCTTTATTATACAACAACTATCATTATTTCTTCTTCTCTTGTGGCTGGGTGAAATTGCACAACAACTTATCTAGAGTTTTGTTCCATCAAAGAAACTTGTCTTGTCATTATTGACTCTCGGGTATATTTTTGGAACCCCTTTTACTTATTCATGTTTTTCTTTCACCTCGTTGGTGTTTTCCAATAAGCTGCTTGAATTAATATGTTTCACGAACATCTTTCATTTAATAATCTAAGCAGTCCCCTATCACCTAGCTAATTCTAATCCCCATGACAAGAATTATTTGTTGCCGTATTATTTTTATATCATTATATAATATATGGGTTAGTTCATGCCAATTTAATATATGTATTTTAAGTTTATGAGATATTCGATCATTTATTGGAGAAATGGGTGCGCATAGCAACGTGCACCATCATGGTCTAGTTTCTCCTAGAAAACACATGTGGTCCTACTCAATTAAGACACTAAAGTCTAATTAGATACATCTCTATGGTTCCCCTGTAACATTACATACTCCCTCCATTCTAACGAATAAGGCGCACACGCTTCCCAAAATCCAATTTTGACTGTAAATGCAATCAATAACATGTATATTTGTGACTTCAAAATTATACCACGAATTCAACTATGTAATTTGTATCACATATAATCCATATTTGGATTGTCTAATTTATGGTCAAAGTTTTGGGAAGCGTGCATGCCATATTCATTGGAATGGAGGGAGTAGGAAAAAGTCAAGCTATTTGCACGCATCTCCAAATATTGAATGAACTGGAAATGATGCAACAAGGACTGTCTCTATATTTCCTTTATAGTCTGTATCTACTTTATTTTATCGATCTCGTGTGTCCTTGCATCCAGTGGTTCATTACAGGTTCAACAATGACTCACACGACAATTTTTAATAAGCGTATAATGATCTTTTAATATATTAGCTCAAAACCAAGCACTATGTTAGTTTTAAAATATTCGTAATGACGCAATCAAAATATATGAAATTACTGTTAAGAAATACCATGTTCAAAATGTCAGTAATGAAGAATCAGAAATATGTGAAATTCTAGTCAAGAAATACCGACTTAAGTTTTTGTACATACCTTGTATCCATTCATTCCCGTAAGACTTGAAGCACTATCAGTGTGATACCATTGCCCATGTTTTGATTCAAGAAAAGGGTATAGCAATCCCCAAGATATGATTCCTCCAAAGAGTAATGCAAAATTTACCACATGTGGACAAATCATTCCAACACCAACAAATGTGGGGGAAAAGTCAAATTTGAATCTGCATGCACAACATCATATCTGAGTTGCTGAAGTAACGATTCATATGAAAATATTATTCGTTCAACCAATGATTCATATACATCTTTTTAGAAATTATTTATCAAAATACACATTTAATTAAGAATCCACCAGTGTATGTAATCCAAAAGGAAAGTCATTGTGCTGCATACATGTGCATGCACATGCATCGATGTGACCCAAATGCAATTTCATAATATCGTAAACTTATTGCACACGCTAATATGTGTTGAGGCACCAATGACATCTTAATACACCAAGTGATTGCTTAAACCAGAAAAGTGTATCTGTGAAAGCAATACCATGATGCACATGAAGTTAGCCTCTTGTACGCATTGAGCAATCAAAGGAAGAAGACATATGCGTCAGTGACACAATATTAATTATCAAATAGACAGAGTACTCTAAATCATTGTAACGATATATTTTTACACATTTATACACCATGTTGTTGTAGAAGAATTGAGTATGTGCACTATACGGAAGGGGAAAAGCAAATAGAAAACAATCTACTGCAGGTGCAGGAGATTCCACGCTATGTAAAGAACATTAATTAAAGGATCGAGTCAAATCAATGCTAAGATAATCTTGGTAGCAAATTTACTTTGTTGATGATTTAGTGCCTATACATAGTTTGCAGGATTCAAGGTGTTTATGTTCGTTTTGGAGGATGAAATTTCATGCTAAATATAGAGAAAATAAAAAATGTGTTGCTTATATTCTTGGGGTTAGTTTATCTATAACCTTATAGATTAGATTAAGACAAAATAATAGATCTGTAATGTTTACCTTGCTGGATCATATTATAATGGTCTAAATGAGCTTATTCGGAACAAATGAAAGAAATGTTTGCAAAGCTTATTCACTTTACAAAAATAAAATATCTGAACAAGCCGAAGCGGAAATGCAACAAGTTGTGCAAAAGCTTCACATGTGCAGTAATGTTACTTATGTTGTTATATAATAGTGATTTATCGGTGGCAACTTTATGTTGTTGGCGCAATCTTCATCTTCAATTCATCAATAGAAGCAAAATTGACTGCTAGTAAAATGACATGGTTAGGGCTTTTCATTTGGTAAATATCCTTTTCTCTTTGAGGTTATTAGATATAGGGATTTTGGCCCTTGATGGTCCAACTGGGTCGCTTCTACCTCGTCGACTGCCTCCTCCTCAAGGCATTCCAAGCCCTCATTCCACCATATGGCATCCAGGACATATGCATTTATATTTTTTATGTTTTTAGAAACATCAAGTACAACATAGGCGCATGCACACGCGCACGCGCGCGCGAGCACACACACACACACACCCCATCACCACCACCAAAACGTAGGCACTCACACAACACTTATTGGAAAAACTCACCAGAAGTGACTCACTATTGACATGGAGTTGTAATCCCACTGAAATAATATTCCATCTTAATGATACAAATAGAACATCGGACTTAGGTGAGCCTCGTTTGGGTGGGGGGTACAAAACTCTCCTCGTCATTAAACACAACACTATCCTCCTTCTATTTTCACCATTTCAGTGGACAATCTATACTTCATGGTGCATAGAGTAAGTTTTGGGCCATTATTATTTATTTATTTTGGCATTGGATGTGAGAAAGGTAAGACACCCGACGGGGCACCAAATTATATCCAACTCCTTTCAGATGAGTTCAGTCGAACTAAAATAAAAGGATTTGAGCCAATATTGGGGTTGCGGTTGAAAAGGCGGACCAGAGTAAGTTGATCAATAGGGACATGAGTGGACTACGAGGAAAACAACTGGGATAAATTAAACATCCCTTCTTTACTGGTGTAGAAATAGCTTTCCTGCAATTGATAGTGTATGCATGGATGATTCTTCTATATTTTACCTTGGAAGCACCATACTAGAGAAAACCATGAGATGTTCTTTCTCTATGTCTAGTTTGAAAAACTTCTTTGCTCAATTTTATTGTGACATGTGATTTTTTTTATTATTATATTTTCAGTAGCACCTTCTCACCTTGACACTTCGATGAGGATGACAAATCCCTCACCAACATATATTTTGTAGTGAGAAACCCCTCCTGGTCTGGTCTAGTATCTAGGCATTCCCCTTTATATCATGATACCTTTGAAGGAGGACTTCAATTAGGTATACAAATTGAGGGCTTGTCTGGCGAGATGGAAGATAGAGCTACTCAACCATGTGAGTCAACTCACTCTCTTGTGTTTTATTTACCACTCCCATCCCCCAACTAATGAATCTAAATCCACCGGTGTGGCATTTATTATGTGTTCTTTCTTATGGATGAGAACATAAGTTATCTAGTTAATTAGGCAACCTCATGTAGGCCAAAGAACAAAGGAGTTCTCAATAGTCTGATTTAAATTCTACAAGATTGCCCCTCAAAATCTGGTGGTTATGCCTACAACAAGACACAATATACCCTTCCTCTTTGTGGCCTTAAATTTCCATATATTTACATCATGTTATCCATCTTCAAGGAAGTGGCACATGTGCATACTATATATCAATAGACAAACACCATGCTTTGGAGGGATCGATGGTTAAATAGAGTTTAACCTTGCGATCGTGGCACTTGAGATTTTTGGGTTAGTTCCTCAGTGAACCCGAGCCAAATGCATATTCATGGAGGCCCTCCTTGGAGACGGATTGATCTATGAATTCAGGAGATAGGAAGGGAAGGCTACATGAGTTTATATTGATCATTGACACATGCCAAAGTATAAATGTATTGCCCGCCCTTCTCCACTAGTTCAAACTTTTGGATTAACTAACTAGTTTGGGATTCTGTAGAATATGTGTATGAGTTGATTTGCATTTGCACTTGTAATTAACAGGGGTTAGGTGTTTGATCCGAACACATGTAACTCATGCCTAATATGAGACCAGGCACGGACATAGCCTATGATGTTGAGGCAGCAATAATGCACCATGCGTGGGCTCTTACCATTGGGCCCAAAGTGTGTGCACTAAGGCACCAAAGAATAAAGCGTAAGAATGCGAAGATGTAGTTGGATGGGTTAGAGGCCATGCATATGGCTTTCCTTACAAGATTTGTCTCTGAAGGAAGTCATGCGGAGAGACCATCATGGTCATGTTTCCACAAAAGGTTTTCTATTTGGGTAGGTCATGTTTGTGGAGAGGTATCGAAGTTTAGGTGATGAGGATGGTGATATGTGCATAGGGCTTAGATAGTCTGGCAGATCAACATGAGTTTGGTCAAAAGAAAAGAAAAGAAGATTATGAGATAGGCTACTACGACATAATGGTGTAATGATGATGATGGTCTTCACCTTTTGTGCCATGGCTACACATGAAACCAACCTAAGTTATGGCTATAATTGGGTATTTTCTACCTTAATTAATCTTAATATTTGTGTTACTTACTAAGGATACTATTATAAGAACATGTGAGACCATGGTTTGGCAGCATGCTAGCTTAGGCTCCTGCTTAAAATCGCACTTATTGAGGGAATCGCAAAGTCCATCTTACAGTGTAGTGCCTTGTCTACCACGCAGTGAGATAACTTCCAGGGGTCACTGAAGGTAATCACTTAAGTTTAGAGATAACTTTCAAAGTTGTATGAAGGGAAATTTCCTAGGTGGGCACTGAGACGCATCTTCGCGTAGTTATTATACATGTTCCCAAGATAAGAATACCAACCATGAATATAAAAAAATAGCCAATTGTCAGGAACATTTGCTCTCATTGGATACCACTAGATTCATCACAACCACCACACACCCAAGGTCTATTTTCATTATTGTAATCTTTTATTTGCAGGCCCTAACATTTATGTTTACCTTGTTAAGTTTAGCCATCCCCTTGCATTCTATCCTAATTGTAGAGATTTTAGGGGTACTAAACATTAAGTGCATGGAAGTTGTGTAAGTGACATACATAACTTGAGAGAATAGTAAGCCTACCTTTAGCTCCTACGGGGATCAACACTTATACTTGCACATCCATAATGGAAGTTCTACAATAACTCCCTGCACTTGGGGATTATCATGGTGGTGGTTTTGATGGGAAGCGCCGGTAATCTTCAACGTGGTGTATAGGCTGAAAGTAGGCATAAAGGAGTGAATCCCCTTCTATGGTGAGGACTTTTGGTGCTCAACCACCTTGGTGGATGGTATTTTGTTATGTTAGACATTTGGCCTTTTCTACGTTTCATAGTGTTTTCCTTAGATGTTAAATACTTTAATGGAAAGATTTTTCTGTGGTTGGTGGCACTTCTCCTTAATGTACAGCCTGATTATGGTCTTAGTGGGGCCCATTGATATGTCGTTGAGTTGCCATCCCATAGGTAATTACACTTATCATCGACAAGTGAATGTTTTTCGAATCTCATCAACAATTATGGTGTCATTGTTGTAATTTTCCGTACTCGTGCGATCAACATGTGACTCGGAGTTTCAAACACTGGTAGATGCAATGTAAATAGAACTGGAGCCCGATTTCGGTCCCTGTTTACACCCAAGACTCGCATGAGGTTGAGTGTTGAAGTATAGACGCATTGCCCATCCTTCACCATTTAGAAAATTTGAGTGAATTGTTTAGTACATGTAATCATATAACACAAGGTACACGACTAGGCCTATGATCTTAACTTCATAAAACGACATATATGCTAGACACTTGCCACCTAGATCAACTTTTTGGCTTACATATACTATTTTGGTGAGTCAAACTAGTCACACACATATATACCATGACACTATTCTAAGCATGAGGGTAGATTAGTAGTAAAACTACATACAAAATCTAGTAGAACTATATACAAAAAGTAATCATTCTTAAATAATTTTTTTGTATCAAAGTTGTTGTTTTACTACAGCGTTGTAAGATTACTATACTATGTACACTATTAATTATTATTTTTCACTTTTATTAGGGGCGTAGCTTAAACTAATTTTATGTACTTCTACAAGTATAAACTCAACATTATTGTGATATTTTTTTCATGCCCCTTGTATTGAGGTACATTCGAATAATTAATAATATATATTGAGAATGATAAAGAGGTATAATATATATATATATATATATATATATATATATATATATATATTCCGTACAAAAAATACTATATGTGCAAATAATTTGAAATGCATGGTCTCAAATGGAATATTTCATGTATAGAACTCACTTTGAGGTATGTAGTATATGGGGAGCGGAAGTACATACTCGGTGGAGTACATAATCATTACAATGACATGAACAAATAAGTGGATCAGATTCCTACCTGTGCTTGTATAGTTCTAGTCCAAACAATGGGAAGTTAGAAAATCCACAGTCGTTGCCTGCTGTATAGAGCCATGAAAATATAGTCCAAGAAAAGCTACCCAGGAAAAATTTGAATATAGTTGCAACCTGCAACCTAAATAAATGAATAATATTAGTTTAAAGAAGAACTAAAATGAGTGTATGTGTTCTGTAGTTACAAATTTTACATGGAGGAGAGACGGACTTTGTCTTACTTTGCTACATGAGCTCCTTGAGGGGTGTGGAAGCTATTAACAAGGTGAGCTTGAACAGTTCCTGATGGGAATAGTAACATGTAGTCAACGATCATGACCTATAGCAAGACGAAACATATTAGTGGAGACGTATTATGCTTTAGAGGAATAAGAATTTTTATTATTTGTACTTATTATTGTAGGTGTATATTTTGCATTTCATATTTCTTAAGAAACTAAAGAAACATATAATTTGCTACCAGGGTCCAAGAACACAAGAGCACATGTGATCTTTCATAGATATACATCTACAAGATATTGACAATACATCGACAAAGTGCCCTTTGCACATGTTTTCTGTAATTATTTACATGGAAATATAAGTGAACCATTAAATTACCATAACATGATTTTTTTTCACGAAAACATATGAAGATTGTTTTCCTCCAAAATAGAGGACAGGAGCCGAGAGAGAAACTCAGATGAGTCCTCATGTCTAGGAATGTAGAAGTGTAAGAGGCATAAGATAAGACTCATGGATGACACCATCAAGAATTTAAATATACCATATTCATATGTATTATTTATGTATGATATAACAAAGCGAATAGCGACAAAAAGAACACCACGATGAGTTATTTCCCTATAAATACAATGTCCCTATCTCCTTGTAGACACTCTGGTTAAAACCCCACATAAATAATAATAATAATAATAATAATAATAATAATAATAATAATAATAATAATAATAATAATAATAATAATAATAATAATAATAGGTGTGTGTGTTGTCTCTCGGAAAGCTTTGCTGGTTTGTGCGATGCACCTTATGTTATCTTTGAAAAACTTTTCCATTTTATTGGGATAGGAACAATTACACTTTATTCATCAAACACCAATGCATTATTTGTCAATAGAGCCATAGAGGCCATACCCGATGCTCATCCAGCCAATAGGTTGTCTGAGCAAACTTGGCCCTTTTAGCTAATTCATGAGCCACACAATTGGCTTCTCTATGGCAGAAACCGGTACAAGATCATGAGCTATAGTCTCCTACACTCATCAAAGATAGCCATTGTTGGCCCATAGGAGATATCATTACTAGTAATAAAACCGATACAAGATCATGAGCTAGTCTCCTACTCTCTTCAAAGACAATCGTAACCAGCCCATAGGAGATATCGTCACTACTCACTAGTAAGAAAATCGATGCAACATCATGAACTAGTCTCGCAGAGGCCGTTTCCACCAAAAAGATTTCAGCAGAGCTACCACTAATAGCCTAAGGGAGGTGGTTTATTTGTGTTAGTGAACGCATGATAGTAGTTAAAGAAGCAAAACCACCTCTAATAATTAGTAGAGGTGGTCCAGAACTCTTGACTGCCTCAATAATTCAAGTCCATATGCAGTTTTCCAAAGGACCGCCTCAAATACTCGTGGCTAATACCCTCTTACCCCTGAATCCTAGCTGCTGCTCCAAACAAAACTGTAGCACAACCTGCTCCGCTCTCCTCTCTTGTCAATTTTGGCGCATTTGCCCACTTCGCTTCCCTCCTCTGCCATCTTACACTCTCGATGCATTCTGCCCCATCCCCCAATCCTGTCACCGTACTGCTCGCATCCCTTCTTGTCTCCGCACCATATCTCACTGCCCCTATGGTGCACCCCTCCAAACATTTTTGGCATGCCTTTCATGGTGGAGGCTCCGGTCGGCCTCCATCGACGAGCGCCCCTACACCTCATCCCCTTGTTGTCCTACCCCCGCCGATGGGTAGCTCCTCCTTCGCCAAGAACTCCAAGGCACCGGAGTTAGACATGGGTGACGACCCAGAGGACGCAACATCGGAGGAGGCACAGAGTGAGGACGAGGTGGACTAACACGTGCTCCTGGACTCCATCCTCTATGCACAAGCTGGCGACGAGGTGAGTGTTGCTTGCATGGCGAAGAAAGTGATGAGGGAGTTGCACGCATGGCCAGAAGCCATTGCAATGAACTCGTCCGGCGATGATTATGTTGTCGAGGCCACGAGATCCGACATTGTCAAGGACGTCATTGACATCTCCTTTGATGATGCCAAGGATTAGGTTTCTTAATTAAGCTCACGATATAGTTTAATTAGGTTCTATGAGATGTTTTGGGCACCAAAATTTGCTTATGTTTTTGCATTGGTGTATGTTACAAATGAATACCGTAGCTTAGAGATAGTAGGTAACTGAATGTATGTCGAGAAAATACAACACTTACAAAGTTTTATTCTCGTGATAATTGTTTTGAAAGAATAATTTCAAGCCAAATTATAGAACATATAGGTGGATAGTTGCACCTGCCCTTGTTATGTGATACGTCTCCAACGTATCTATAATTTTTGATTGTTCCATGCTATTATATTATCTATATTGGATGTTTTATATGCATTTATATGCTATTTCATATGATTTTTAAGACTAACCTATTAACCTAGAGCCCAGTGCCAGTTTCTGCTTTTTCCTTGTTTTTGAGTTTCGTAGAAAAGGAATATCAAACGGAGTCCAAATGAGCTGAAAATTTACAGTGATTTTTTTATGGACCAGAAGAAGCCCCCGAAGCAAAAGAGTTGGGGCAGAAGAGCCACGAGGTCTCCACAAGTGTCGGGCGCGCCCTCCATCCTTGTCATCGCCTCGTGGACCCCTGACTTGTTCCCGACGCAAAAAATTCCTATAAATATAGAAACCCCCCAAAATAAACCTAGATCGGGAGTTCCGCTGCCGCAAGCCTCTGTAGCCATGAAAAACCAATCGGAACCCTGTTCTGGCACCCTGCCGGAGGGGGGAATCATCACCGGTGGCCATCTTCATCATCCCAGCGCTCTCCATGACGAGGAGGGAGTATTTCACCCTCGGGGTTGAGGGTATGTACCAGTAGCTATGTGTTTGATCTCTCTCTCTCTCTCTCTCTCTCTCTCTCTCTCTCGTGTTCTTGATTTGGCATGATCTTGATGTACCGCGAGCTTTGCTATTATAGTTGGATCTTATGATGTTTCTCCCCATCTACCTTCTTGTAATGGATTTAGTTTTCCCTTTGAAGTTATCTTATCGGATTGAGTCTTTAAGGATTTGAGAACACTTGATGTATGTCTTGCATGTGCTTATCTGTGGTGACAATGGGATATTCACGTGATCTACTTGATGTATGTTTTGGTGATCAACTTGCGGGTTCTGTGACCTTGTGAACTTATGCATAGGGGTTGGCACACGTTTTCTTCTTGACTCTCCGGTAGAAACTTTTGGGCACTCTTTGAAGTTCTTTGTGTTGGTTTGAATAGATGAATCTGAGATTGTGTGATGCATATTGTATAATCAAACCCGCAGATACTTGTGGTGGCATTGGAGTATCTAGGTGACATTAGGGTTTTGGTTGATGTGTGTCTTAAGGTGTTATTTTAGTATGAACTCTAGGGTTGTTTGTGACACTTATAGGAATAGCCCAATAGATCGATCAGAAAGAATAACTTTGAGGTGGTTTCGTACCCTACAATAATCTCTTCGTTTATTCTCCACTATTAGTGACTTTGGAGTGACTCTTTGTTGCACGTTGAGGGATTGTTATATGATCTAATTATGTTATCATTGTTGAGAGAACTTGCACTAGTGAAAGTATGGACCCTAGGCCTTGTTTCCAAGCATTGCAATACCATTTTCGCTCACTTCTGTTACTATTTACCTTGCTTTTTTATATTTTCATATTACAAAAATCTATATCCACCATCCATACTGCACTTGTATCACCGTCTCTTCGCCGAACTAGTACACCTATACAATTTACCATTGTGTTTGGTGTGTTGGGGACACAAGAGACTCTTTGTTATTTGGTTGCAGGGTTGTTTGAGAGAGACCATATTCATCTTATGCCTCCCATGGATTGATAAATCTTAGGTCATCCACTTGAGGGAAATTTGCTACCGTCCTACAAAACTCTGCGCTTGGAGGCCCAACACGAGTCTACAAGAAGAAGGTTGCGTAGTAGACATCAAGCTCTTTTCTGGCGCCGTTGCCGGGGAGGTTAGTGCTTGAAGGTATATCTTTAGATCTTGCAATTGAATCTTTTAGTTTCTTGTTTTATCACTAGTTTACTCTATAAAAGAAAACTACAGAAAATGGATTTGAGGTTACCTCATATGCTTCATCTTTTTAATGTCTTTCGTGAAAATAAGGATTCCGATAATTGTGCCAAAGTGTTAGAAGAAGAATGCATTAAAATGTTTGGCACTAAATCTTTTTATGATGAGCATAATTGCAATGTTGTTAGTATGAATTCTTTGAATATCCATGATGCTAATGATATGCAAAGCCACAAGCTTGGGGATGCTATGTTTGATGAAGATGGTATTTTTTGTCCCCCAAGTTTTGATGAGAAAAGTTATTATGATGAAAGCATGCCTCATATCTATGATGATTATTGTGATGACATGTATGCTATAAAGAATAATGATAACCATGAAACTTTTCATCGTGATTTTAATTTTCAATTGGATATTGCCTCACATGATAGTTATTTTGTTGAGTTTGCTCCCACTACTATTCATGAGAATAAATTTGCTTATGTGGAGAGTAGTAAAATTTCTATGCTTATGGATCATGAAAGTAATGCTTTATGTGACAGTTATATTGTTGAATTCATTCATGATACCACTGAAAATTATTATGAGAGAGGAACATATGCTTTTACATATCTCAATAATATCAAGTTTCCTCTCTATGTGTTGAAAATCTTGAAGTTATGTTTGTTTTTCCTTCCTATGCAAGTTGATTCTTGTTCCCATAAATTTTTTGCTCACAAAATCCCTATGCATAGGAAGTGGGTTAAACTTAAATGTGCTAGTCATATGCTACATGATGCTCCCATTATGTTTCAATTCTTATCTTTTATGTGAGCACCATCGAAATCACCATGTCTAGCTAGAAAGGCATTAAAGAAAAGCGCTTGTTGGGAACTCCATTGACGTACATAACAACCTTTGGCTGGGCACTCAAAATGCACGCACGCATAGGAGACTTCGGTTGATTGCTTGGGAACCTTTGGCCGGAACCAAGGGTAAACTTGTCTTTTTATGTTTCATTTAACACCGTTAGGTCAAAAAATGGATAAAAGTGTTATATTGGGAACAAAATTTAAAGTTGGTGTTAGATAGGGAAGAAGCATTTTTCCAGTGTTAAATAAGGAAACGAAATTTAAAATAGTGTTATATAAGGAATTCTTTCAACTAATAGAGGAGGTAGAAATTCTTCTATATCTCCCTCATCAAAGTTCCACATACCTTTTTCCCTCTCATCTCTAAATTAATTAATGTATTTCCCCGCATTGATTAAAACTTGATAAAATGTGTTTTTAAAGAGATATTTACCATGTTTTACTGGCACGCCAAAAAATGAGGTTACAGATTTTATGTATCGTGATAGAGCTTTTGTCATAACAAGCATTAATGAAACCAACATAGTCTGTACGGTTTGCCGCCACCTCCCGCTTCTTGGAGATGCCGGGAGAGTCACCATGCTTTGTTTCTTTTCTTGGAGAAGTTGGGAGTGCATTCAAAGATGGAATGACAATGTTTCTAGTGTGTACCAGATCTCTACTCGAGAAATGGTGAACATGATCTGGACAAATTTGGAGTGAAGTTTGTCCTGAACATACGACCACCAAGTTGGGTGTGATCTTTTCAAGTACATGTGAAATTTATCATATAAATCAATATGTATATCACAAGGTTGTCTTATGTTTTAGTTGCACTGCACAAAAAAAGACACCACTGGCATTACAAACTTATCAGAATGGGGTTAGTATAAACAGCTATGGCAGCGCTGGTTGCACTGGTGATTGGAGTTTAGATTGAGCTAGTGTGTGTTAATAACAGTTTATGTTCAACTATTACTTGAGTTTCCCCATATTTGATTTCCAATAAGCTGACCATATTTTCCGCATGTAGATCGATTTTAGTTGCACCAGAACTAGCTCTACTCAACATATGTACATTCATATATGTATGTTCTAAGTGAAATTTACTTTGAAGTGGAAAAATCTCTGATCCCCGTGAAGAAGATATCTCACGGCGATCAGTCCAAAAGTCAACATGATGAGTTGAGATGGGTACACTAATCGAGCCAAAAGGTGAAAGGAAAAGGCAGGATGTGTACACTACTCAAGATGAAAAGGCAACATGAAGAGGTGAGATGGGTAGGCTACTCGAGATGGCGTGGAGTATATAAATCTTTGGATTTTATAACTTTGGTTTGTATGAACCACAAGATGTATATAAATGTATAATGAAATGCAATGGACTTATGCAATGAATGAGAATGTGTATGATTGTGTCTAGTGTGTATGTGGGAATGTTCTCTTTGAATTTCAATTGTAGGGTTGGCTAAAAATAATTAAAATACCATGCATGAATAAGAAATGGGAGTGGTTCTGAACTAAAAACTTCTTCAAATGATAATGTATTCTGGGTGGTTCCACTTCAAATGATAAAGTACTCTGGGCGATTCAGTGACGAAACCACCTACAATGTAAACATTAAAAGTAGTTCTATTTAGGGAATCACCAAGGACCTTAAGGCATTCGAGGTAGTTTTAAAAGCACCTCCCATAGTTTGAGTATTAGCTAGCCTAGTGGAAAAATGCAAAACTGCCTCAGCTCAATGGACGAAAACAGTCTCCAAAGCCCGTTACGTACTTGTGCATCCTACCGCGGTGTAGAGATTTCTACCATATATACAATCAAAGTTAACAATGATCCTATTGCAGTTACAAGGATAAGACCATGAAGAAAGCATATGCTTCAGTCGTACCAACATCATATACTTGACCGATTAATTGGGTTGTTATGACAATAAAAAATCCATGGCCATCAAGAAGGATAGCTCTAGAAGTTCCATGACTCATGTCCTCATCAAAAGACGCATCCACATTAAGTTTGACATAACATTTTAGCGGTCTTACCCAGACATGATGTCGGATGCTACAAGATCTAGTTGAAGCTCTCTCATTGCTCAAATCAAGACAATGATGGCCTTGCCGAATGACTTGGGATTTGAACGCGTTGCCTAGTGATAGATTGTCGCCTTTCCCACCACACGTACCAAGGAGCAACCATGATCATGATGTTAAGATCAGCATGACCAATCATTGGGGAACGATTTCATTCAGACATAGGAGACGCTCCAGTCATGAATCCGAGGTAAGCCCACATGTTACGACTGTGGGAGGGCTCGATCCACCATGCATGCTTCAAGGATACATCTTGGAGTCCTAAATCTTTCCACGCTGATTATTCATGAACTAAAGTGAGCAAGGCAAGCTTAATATCATCTGCCCATGCGAGACAAAAATAGCATTGAGCACTCACCTTGACATGGTGGTTAAATATAATTGACCTACACGTTAGCGTGTTGCACATAGCTTTCCACATTATTATTTTTATTATTTTCGATATTTTTATATCCCACAACTTTGACTAGACTGGGTTGATGACATAGTTCTGTGTGTCCGTGTTCCTTCACAACTTCTTCCTGTGGTGATGCTCCACTCAGCATAATATGCCAACTGTACAGAAAAGGTCCCCATCTTTGTAAACTTCCATGCCATAAAATTCTCAAAGTGTCCATAACCACGATATGGAGAATAGTTTGTGCATCGATTGGCCAAAGAATATCATGGATCACCTTCATCCCACCGCTCGGACTGCGAGTTAATGAGATCATTGGCATGTGTCAAAACAACATGTCCTCGCGAACCAACCTGTGATTGGATGGTTAGAGGGATAGTTGTAACATGTGTGCGTGCTTGCGTCTGTACTGATGTTCAAAAAAAAACATGTCCTCTTCTCATTATCAGACGCTTAGAAGGGCCATCAGGATTCCATATGGATTATCCCAAAATTTAACCTTTGACCCATCACCTATTTGTCAAATGCAATCTCTCATAAAGGTTTGAAAACAATCTGACAGTTCCGCTTCAACATGGGTAGGTAGCCCCAAATATGCATCGGATAGAGATTCTGTGAAAATGTCCAAAGTAATGCAAATTTTCTCCCTCATCTCCACTTCCGTATCCAGGCTAGAGAAAATACATGATTTTTGCACGCTTACAAGCTACCCATGTACTGTAATATTTGGCAGGATTTAAGGTTGCTGGGGGAATTGCATGTCGCTCTACAGATATCCATCATAAAGGATACTGAGGATGTTACCCAGACTTCTTCAGTTGTTTTGGGGGTGGGTCAGTGCGAGTATGTTGATCCCGGAGGTGGTTCACAAATACTCCCTCCGTTCCGAATTACTTGTCTTGGATTTGTCTAGATACGGATGTATCTAGACTTATTTTAGTGCTAGATACCTCCGTATCTAAACAAATCTAAGACAAATAATTCGGAACGGAGGGAGTAGGTGACAAGGTGCGTGCGTGCGTGCGCGTGTGTGTGTGTGTGTGATCAAGAAAATGCATATCCTTGTCAACGAGAACGGTTAAAGGCGAGGCCAATAAACAATGATTTGCTTGTCGACCAAAACGACAACTTACTAAAGCCGCTGGTTCATGAGGGGAATGGTGGAATCCAATGCCAATCCAGAGAGCTTGTCTCTTCAGGAATATGCTTCAACACACGATCTCAGTTGAAATCATTCATAGGTCACAAGTCAAAACATCTTGATGTCTATAGATCATAACCCTTAGAACAAGATCGGAGACTGAATCGATATTGCCAGTTTTTTAATATGTACAGATACAAAATATTTTTAAAAGATGCTTAGAAAAAGTGTCCAAAATAAAGCTGGAGAGGAAGTAGTGTTCGAGGGGAAAACGTTGGTTTATCTTCTTGCAAGGAGAGGGTGGTTAAAGAGTCACAATGAGTGCCGAGGAGAAAAGCAGCGGGTGAGAGAATCAATTTGCCGCTACTAGCTAATTGTCCATGGGTTGCAATGGGGGATACATATTCTAGTGATCCTATCCCTCAAAAAATATTCTAGTGATCCTCCCGTTCAACGCTCGATGATATTTTCCATAATTAGTGCGTCCTGTCCAAAGAATGATACTCTACGTAAGTAACGTGATTCACCCGTCCAAAGAGTGATACTCTCCATAATTAACGTGTTCCTCCTGTCCAACGCTCAATCATACTTTCCATAATTAATGTGATCCGTCCAAAGAATGATTCTTTACATAAGTAACGTGATCCTTCCGTCCAACGCTCGATGATATTTTTCATAATTAATGTGATCCTTCCGTCCAAAAAATGATACTCTCCATAAGTAACGTGATCCACCCGTCCAAAGAGTGATACTCTCCATAATTAATGTGATCCTCCCGCTCGATCATACTTTTCATAATTAACGTGACTCGTCAAAGAATGGTTCTCTCCATAATTAATGTGATCCTCCCATCCACAGAATAATACTCTCCATAATTAACACGACCACCCCCGTCTAATGCTCGATGATACTTTCCATAATTAGCATGATCCACCCGTTCAAAGAATGATACTCTCCATATCCTCCTGTCCAAAGAATGATACTCTTCATAACTAACATGAAACCAACAAATGTATGAACCAAACCAAACCACGACATAACATCACGACCGCAGCCTCCCCTTCACTAGTAGAGAGGATGGCACACATTTATGATTTAGTACAATAATTTAATCCTTGTGTTTATCGTTATTTCATGGCAATGCACCGCACGTGCATTCAGCTAGTATATGTAAATGGTGGATTACCTGGTTCAGTGGCACGCTAGCTGTTACTCCCACCATACCAATCAGGAAAAGGAACAACATCCATCGTCCAGTCGGTATATTGTCAACAATATCTCTTGGATCTGGATTTTCTCCCAGTGATTTGGCTACACCAGAAGTCATTCCAACTACATAATTTGCAAAGCCACCTGAAGAATAGAGGTGAAGTCAAAATAAATTTGTCAGTGTGATTGCCAATCATGATCACTAGGTTGAAGTGTCTTGGGACAGAGTACTAAAGTTTTTGTTCCTCGGATATATCATATATATGTATCTTTTTTTTTTTTGCGGGGGATCATATATATGTATCTGATGGATGAGCTCACTCATATAGTGCACCCGAATTCCTAACTCCACATTTCACTTATCATTGAAGGGGCGGAGTATATGCATGCGTTTTGTTTACATGGTACCCAAAAAAATGCAGCTTTTCCTTGTAAGAGTTAATACCAAGGTGTGTATGATCCTTACCACATATTGCTGTGTTAAGGCAGGTGGTGACGGTGGTGAGGATCAGGACGTTCTCCTGGCGCGAGAAGGGCAGCGTGGTGAAGCCGGCGGCTCGCTGGAGGTTGATGAGCCACTTGAGGAAGAAGAAGCTGAGGACGTTGATGGGCAGGTTGAGCGCCTGTATGATGCCGGCCTTCATCATGATGCGCAGCCCGACGAAGCCGAACACGGTGCCGAGGACCACCGAGATGGCCATGGACCGCAGCGTCACCTGGCCCCATGTCCCCGGCAGCGGCGGCTGGCTCTCGAAGACCCGCTCCACCGACGACGCCACGCTCACATCTCCGATCGTCGCGTCCATGGGCGAGGGGCTGGAGCTCTGGCGAGTTCGATTGGGGGCTTTGGGTGTGGACGGAGGAGTGGTGGTGTGATCTTGGTTAGTTTCTCATTTCTCAACCAGTGGCACATGCAGGTGGAAGTGGTGAAAGGTGGAGAGTGAGTGTAGCGAGGGAGGAGCAAAAAATAGGATGCATGAGAACAGATATCAGTTACACGTTGTACTGCACGTCTTGTGGTTGTGAGCGTACGAGAGCAGTTCACGAATGTGTCGACGGCCGATCGATCCAAATTAGCTAAAGTCCTGTTCTTTTTGGAGGAAAAAATGTGTTGAGATATTAAAATTGCACTTGCACAGTTGGTTGGACTGGAGGAATCAGAATTGGAAGTGAGCATGCTTGGAAGACAAATGTAATGCTACAATTACACTATAATAAATTGCTAGTAGTTTCTACCTATAATAATCTTTCAGGAGTTGGTGCTTGTTTGTCTCCATCCTCCCGATTTTGGTCAAACAATCTGGTGCGCAAAGCAGGATGCGACCTTTTTGGTCAGATCGAAATGATCAAAATGCTACGCGACTTTTGTCAGCGTTTCTTGTAACCAAAAGCATAAAGCTCGACGAAGCAACTATGATCTTAAGAACAACAGATAAATATATAGTTCTAAATTCAATGCCTTCATCACTATAAATTAATCAAAACACCAGTCTGATAAATAAAAATATGTACTCCGAGTGTCCACCTAAAATTCACACGCTTTGCGAAATAACTAGAGAAAAAGGAATATACAACAATGGCACTCCGGTACACAAGTATCCTGTACAGACCTGAGCTTCCCAAAGAGTACAGCTTATTACCACCTGATCAACTGTAGTAAGTAACCCAAACATTGTAGCTAAAGGGTGGGCATGCACCGATTTGAGCATGAGATTCAGAAACCACAACTGAGCAGACATCTCTCGGTCGGAGGCAGCTGAAACCATCAGGTTGTGTTTTCACTCAACACATCACCAAAAAAAAAGAGCTTGCTTTCTCTCAGACAAAATGGAAACCCCTTGTCGCAATGCCCTACTTGTCTCGAGTTACGAAGCTTTTATCTGTTCATACTTTTCTCCTATGCTTCCACCTTTCTGCTTCTGGAATTCAATGTATCGTAGAGTGCTTGCAAAGAAAGCTTCGGCAGATGGATCAGATGCACTGCTGTCATTTTGCTTCTCTGTCCTGATCAGTTCGATCAAATCTTGGATGACAGTGTTCGTGATTTGTGGAATTCCTTTCTCAAAGAAGTACAGATACCTGAAGATAATACAAGTATGAGAACTACAATTGCAGCAAATTAATCATATAAGCACCAGAAAAGATATCAGGTATAAAGCGTTTACTTGTTCAAAATTTCAATGAATAGAATGACAGATCCGCTGCTTCCCTTTGATACATTGGCCATTTGTTGAGCAGCATTTGCAATTCTCAAGGCACGCTTTAAGCAAAGGAGGACCCTGTAACAAAATTTTGATCAAGCAAAAGAGGTACTTCAGATATGGTTCGACAGCAGGCCCGAAGTTACTGCCTAAACTTGACTATAGCTGGCGCAAAAGGATTAGAGACATAGTAGCCCGAGAGATATCATGCAATTAGGACCGACCACAAATTTGTGATGGCGAATTTTCTTTCATTGTCTCAGGAAGCAATGTCTTGCCACTTTTGAACAAAATGAACAAAAATTAAAATGAGTATCTCAATAGGTTCACCTTTCACCATCCATGATTCCATCTTGGTCATCAGTCCAGAAAAGGTGTGAACATGCATAGACTGCCCGGCATTGATCAGGCTTCTTTAGAAGTTTTGCTGAGTACTGCACAAAACAGAAATGATGTCATTTAAAATGTGTACTAGGAGCAACAGCTTTAGGCCATAACAGATTCCAGGAATGCAACAACGAAGCAAGGAACTATTACCCCTGTTGTCTTATGAGTGAGGGTGTCTCTATTTTCCACCCCAAATATATTCATCCGCTGAAGGGTTCCAATTATTAGGTGAAGTGCAGTAATTTGAGCCTTAGAATCCTGCTTGTGCCACATAGTCGTTAAGGCAAAAAGATAATAACCGAAGTATAAAAGCACTTCAATGTCTTAATAAAAGCATGGCACATGACATTTATGATATGGTCCAGATCAGGCGAGGAGGGGGGGGGGTCAGGTGGGGTTTCATACCGCTATTTCTTCTTCATATAAGATGAATGCTTGAGTAAAGAACTCATAAGCAACCGGTTCCAAATCACAATCATTGGCAGCCTGAATAAGAAATGCTGTCACACAATAGGAAGAAGTGTAAAAAGAATCAATCAGTTGTTCCAACAATACCTCTGCGCATTGTAGATATAATCTGAGAGACAATTCTGGACAAGGAATACATTGGAGTGCTTCAATAGTCTGAAAAATGAAAAACTATGAGAACATTGAAGAGTTAATAATGGAAAATTCTGAAGAAGTTAAAATGTATGAGAATAAAAACCTGATGCAAGATCTGAAATATCTTCTTAGGGGTTGCGGGAACTTCCTCCCCAGTGACATCTCCATCTTGACCTTGTAATCGTCTGACCAACTGCAGGCAAGAAAAAACATCCAGTGTAACCCAACTGTTAGAATTGGTAAGCCAAAACAAAGCAAAGCACCTACCCCAGTATTATCATGCCTACTACAAAGCAGCATGTGCAACTATACAGTTCATGTTTTTTGATAACATTGTGTACAAATACATCAAGAAATAAGTAAGCTTCTTATTTCAGGATACTGTTCACTATAACTGAAACAATTAAACATACCTTGAGAGCGGAGAATACTAACGACGGCACAGTGAAAGGTAGACGCTTGGGACCTCCCTGAAGTATATGCTTCTGAACAGTACATAAGATCTGAAAGATTGACAAGCATTTCCTATCAGCATTTTCAAAATGGGAAAATGACAAGACAAGTACCCAGATTAAATGCTGCCAAGTAACCAGAACTCAAGAGCAGGTGCTTGGTTTGTCAATCTAGCATGGAAAAAGATAATTGGCCCTAGTTTCATTCATAATCAGATACTACCAGGGCATGGTTCATTACCTATTGTAGGCTCTACAAATAAGATTTAACAAAATGATGGTTCAGAGTAAGCAGGTCGGTATGAGAATAATGTCTATAGGTGCTAACTTAGAACATCAATTTCCTATAAACTGAAGTTCAATTGCTTATTATGTAACCTTATTAGGAGGGCAAAACACCAGCTCAGAACTTCACCTGCCCATAGCTAGTGTAAATGGACATATAACACAGACATATGATGGAGGCTGTAACAAGAACTGAAGTAAAGGAGGAGGAAAATGTAACAGAGACTAAAAAAAGTTCGCAAGCTCTCAGCAAATTCAGTGAATCAACAAATGTACCTTCAACATCTCGTCGTGATCATCATTGTGCAACATGTGAATAAGGCGTGCTACAGAATTCTGCTCCTCCTTAAAATCCTCTTCATCAAGCTAATGCAACAAAATTTAACATGTTAACAGTGCGGGTAAGCTTGATGAGGAACTAGAATATTCCATGACTGATCAAACAGCAGCATAAAGAAGCATACAAACAAGTTGAAGAGAGTTGAAAAATGAAGTGTATGATCTTACCTCATCATCTTGAGCCCCATCCATATCTTTTATAAGGCCCTTAATTAAATCAAAAAGAGCCTCGATCTGCAAGAAATAGCGACAGGATCTCATGGTGTGACTTAAATAGTAGTAATAGATACAGAAACAGTGTAATGTGAAATATTACCTTGTCGGAAGTAGATATGCAGGTTGTGTTCTTCATTATGCTTTGAATTATTACCAGAGCCATCACTTTTGTTGTAGCATTATCCAGATAATCCATTACCCGGGGATAATTTGAAAGCTCCAATGCAGTAACAATATTACTATATTTCTCCAGGGGAGCACTAAGAAGTGCAACAATTTGCTTCGTTGCTCTGCTATCTTCAAGTTTTTCCTTGCCAGAAAGTTTCTTCACGCATGCACCCTGTACAATATTAGACATAACGTGAGCTAGAACGTACATCTACATCAACTATCGAACTAAAAGGGTAATAGCATATCTCTTTGTCAAAGTAAGACTTACCAGCACTTGGTCAACATAATCAAGCCGATCTGGATGCACGCGGAGAGTAAATGTAAGGAGTGATACATATAAAGTTACTGCTCCAACAACCGGCATGTCAACTTGAGCTTCTATCACCTGTCAACAAATCAGGTGTCAGTTGTTTCAGTTTTACCTGTACAATAGCACCGAACAGCTAGGTAACTAGAAAAAGGAAGAAATAAAAGGTGCATGTATTTCTATGGTTATTCCCATGCACATTGGTACACTTATGTACATAGTAACCATGGAAACTGTCGTTTAGATCAAATGCATATTCATGGTATCGCCAATTGATGGGTATACAAAAAAAATGGGGGGGGGGATAAGAACACAGTGGACATGTATGACCTGTGTGATTGCATATTTCTAATTAGTGATAAGCGGCAATTTAAGTGTTACCTTTCCAATAGCATTGCTGAACTTCGCAAAAGCTTCGACTTGCAAAAACTCTGGCAGTACCTGCACAATTCATTAATGTAAAAGCATATACGGATTACATCTGATAAAGTGGTCTGGGGCATGCTCACTTCAGGACTTGTGGCAGCATAGTTTGACAATCTGTCCATGAGTTGAGATAGCACCGTTTTGATATCAACACTTGGCTGCAAGAGAATTTATGTGATGACTTGCTTCATAGTAAAATAAAACAGAAACTGCATATCAGTTAATAAGATCCGAGCGAGATTCATAGTACTAGAACTTTGTACTTCATTGTACTTGCATTGTCAAGCTTTACCATGTTATACCCTGAATATACGAAAGTATAGGTTCATCATCTAACTATGGCACCACAATAAAATAACACACCATAACTATGTATATAATAGTGTGCTTTGCCCTCAAAAGTCCCTTAGCTTTCAATC